TATATATAAATTGTGATATTGATATTGATATCGGTATTGATATTGATACTGATATACTGATAATACTTATAATACTGGTATGATAATATATTGATTTATAATCACACACATACGCTTACATGTGTTAATATTAAATTTTAGTAGTATCCATTCCGACTTCTTTTGGCTGCATAATAAATATCATCTTCCGTCTTCGCATTCAGGCGCAGATGTGTCAGATGTGTATATCTGCGTACCCATTTGTACTCAAGACAGCATCACTCAGACACTTTCTCAAAGATAGCAGCTACAAGGGATTGACTGTAGTGAAATATTCATGTCAACATTCGAATGCATTACGTTACTCGTAGGTTGAGATCTCAAAGCTGTCGAATGGGATCACGGTAGCCTCTCTGGAGACTTACAGTCCCATCAGCACCGTCGGTGTAGTCAGCCATGCTGGAGCACGCTTCGAGGGCTCGCATAACAAGGGTGTCGCCGCTCTGAACAGACAGATGGCTTTCAAGGTATGTAGGTAGCTATATTAATATCCTTGCATTGTTGTATATACATATATTGATAGGCTTGCCGAGGGTTAAAAGGAAGAAAGATACACTGGCGTGAGATAGGATGAGATAGATATAATGGGCCCTTATCGTTATACAAGCTTGTATTCCAATCTTGACGATAACAATAGGAGTATAGTTATAGTTATTTGTCATCTGTCTACATATAGATATTTACATATGCATATCTTTGACAATTATGATGGCCCTGTGCACTATCAAACACATGAGAACCACTCTACCACGATCGCTATACATATATATATATACATACATAACGCAACGCGTTATTTGTCTCCTTAGTAGAAATTCACAGCGTCCCTGTATGTCAAGCGGTGATACTACTGCATACTCACGATATCTACCTTCTGTATGTATTGCAGTCCACTACAGAGAGCACCCAGTTTGCTATTGTGCGTGAGATTGAGCACTACGGTGGCCGTCTACACTCAACTACCACACGGGAGCACTCCACCACCACCGCCACTGGAAGCCGCGACAGCATCTCTACGCTGGTCGATGCGATTGCCGACGATTTCACGAACAGAGAGGCACTTCTATGGGAAGTATGTTTGCGTGCCACGCGTGTATGCACACACACACATATATATACATACTTATACAGTGCACTGTTGTGTCGGTGAGCGTTGATGTACCTCCGTATATAGTACATGTATACCATGTGTATGTAATGACAGAAGCTTGACACCACAACCAATATGTCGACACGACTTACCTTATATGTACCTGAGTTCTTCATACCTATAATCCCTCATATGGCATATTTCATATATCAAATCAAGCTCGGGTGTCACGGTTCCTTCTCCGGTACGCAACCAGATTACCTCCCACACCAAGCGTACAAGCGTGTATCTCACCCGCCTACAACTGCCACCACTCCCCATTGCTCAGGTCAACCAAGCCAAGAGCGAGCTGGCCATCCAGTCCGCAGAAGAGGCTGGTAACGGTTCTTTCCAGGCCATTGAGGCTGTGCACGCCGCGTCGTTCAGCGGAGGTCTGGCGAATGCCTTGACCCCAGCACCTTACGCCGTCAGTGCCTTGAGCCCAGATGCGGTCAAGGCTTACAACAAGGCTATGTCGACTACTGGCAACTCGGTGCTTGTGGGTGTGGGATGCCAGCACAGGTGTGTAAGCTAGTGTGTAAATGTGTCATATATATATATATATATATATAGATATATAGATATATAGATATATAACTTATTATGATTGCTATTATTATTGTTGTATTGTATATATGCAAGCAAGAGATGCCTTGGCCCGGGATATGTATTGTATACGTGATATATATATATATATGTATATATATACATATATATACATACATACATACATACATACACACACACACACACACACACACACGCGCACACACACACACACACACACACACACACACACATATATATATATATATTCTTATAATGATTGGTTTTACTATTATTTTATTGCATATATGCATGTAAGTATGAGTGGTTGTACTATGCCTTGGCCCCGGCCTCTCACGCAATAAGGGCTTTTGGCCCCGATTTCGTCAAGGCATTTTTAACTAAGCTATCTCTACTACTTGAAACTCGATGCTTGTAAATGTGACATGTCAGCATAGGAGTGTACGTACATATGTATATGCTTGTGGGTGCATGTATACACGAATGGAGTCATTATGTGACAAACCAATACCGAAACGTGCAGGATATGGAAGTATGAATATCTACATGTAAAACCATTTGTTCCGCATTTAATTGTGTATTACTTCTATAAATCATTCCAGTTTGAATACCTATATATATATATGTATATAATATAATATATATATATATTTATAATATATATATATATATATATATATATATATATATTAATATATATACATATATCGGTTGTCCATGGAATTATAAATTACTGCTATAAATTATTTGGTTGTAGTGTTGTCCTAGCAGCTGCCGGCACCTTCCCTCGTGCGAGAATTGCAGAGGCTGTGGGTGTTTTCTCGTGGCGTCGCAGCCAGTAATAAACCAGACAGTACTCACTGAAGTGGAGTCAGTCGAGTACTGTAGTCTAATCTTGCGACGCACTGGCAAGTATATCGGCATATCTACATATCTGCAATGACCGTCATGGTTAGTCATACCGTCTCACACATTCTGTTACATGCCTGCTCTCAACAGTGACCTCGTCGCAGCGGCCGAGACTGCCTTTGGCAGCGCTCCTTCCGGCGAGAAACCCAAGGACAGTTGCACGTTCTCAGCTAGCACCATGTTGGTGAATGCCGCTGGACCTGCCACCTATGTTGCGGTTGCATTTGAGGGCAAGCCTCAAGGCGAGGATGCCCTAAAGCTGGCTGTTATTCAGGTATTGACAAGTGTGGATAGTGTGTGTGAAGGTGTTTGTGTGTGTTTTTATATGTGTAAGAGGACGTTGTTGGGTGTTATCATTTGTAATGTTATTCACAGACACACGCATATATATATATATATATATGTATATATTGATATATATATTGATATATATATATTGACATATATATATATATTGACATATATATTTATATGTTGATATATATATATGTATATGTATATTTTTATATATATATATATACCTATATACCTTTATATATGTATACATACAGGCATACATACATACACACACAAATACACACACACACACATATATATACCTTTTTATATGTATACATACATACATACATACATACATACACACACACACACACTCATATATATATATATATATATATAGTAAAATATCTATACCTATACATATACATATACATATACATATTTATATACGTATACATATATACATATATATATGCATAAATATATATATATAGTGTATGTATGTATGTATGTATGAATGTATATATATGTATGTATGTATGTAATATATCCGTGTTTACTCTAGTACACTAGCATATTTCCGAGCCATATGCTCTAATAAAATATATCGCACAGACACACTGTGCCAGGCTCATTACATACCAAACTTCATTGCTGCATCCTTATCTAAATAAATTTCCACTCGTGCTTTTAACAGCACGCACTAGGAGCCGGAACTGACCCCAAGTGGGGCAACTCTGGGTCATACTTGAGCCGTAAACTGGCGGAGAACAAGTCCAATACCTCGCTTGTGGCCTTCAATGCCTCTTACAGTGACACCGGAATCATTGGTGAGTTCTATGTAGTTGCTGTGTGCATGTGTACAGGTATATTTGTGTTTGGTTGTACATAACACGTTTTATATAGTAAACTAACTACCCTACACCTTTATGTATATATATATGTATTTGAGCCATAAAAGTTGCGAACACCCAGCAATATCTCCCCGGTGGCGCATGTCACCTTTTGTTCGTGAATCTGCGTAATTAGTGTAGATGTACACGTGAGACCGAAAGTTAGTTCGATTTCGTTCTCGCTCGCGTATGTACGTAGGCTCGTTCCAACACACACCCTGTTTCACATCTGCAGCACCTCGACAACGGCTTGGCCTTTCTAATCACTATCCCACCTTCACCCAATGTGTACCAATGATCACTAGCCCACCTTCACCCAATGTGTATAAATGCCCCCGCCCATGCAGGAATTGTGGCCGGTGCCGGTAACGCACAGATCGGCAATCTGGTAGGTACAGTAAAGGAGATTATCGCCGATGTAGGTAAGAACGGACTCTCCGCCGACGATATTGCGGCTGGTAAGGCTGCGGTGGCTGCCGCCGCCTCCTTTATCGGTGACGATGCCAATGTGCTGATTGAGGAGATCGGCGCACAGGTGGGCACACACGGCAGTTACATGGACGCTGAAGCGACGGCCAAGAAGGTCGAGGCCTTAACCCCAGCTGATATTAACAAGGTATAGTGGGGTATGGTATAGTGTAGCTGAATTGTGCACATACCCGCTTATCCGATTACATGTATGGATGGGTGCATGTATGTTTGTACGTCGGGTGTGTAGGCGTATGGCTTTCGTTTTGTTGTATGCACGTATTGACTTCCTCGACTCCCTGGTGCCTTAATTGATAGCTACAGCTAACCCCATAAACCATCCTTGTACTTGCAGCTTGCGAAGTCCATTTTCTCATCAAAGCCCTCCGTTGGAGCGTACGGTGAGGTGAGCCAGGTCCCCAAGTTCTAAATACTGAGCTGACTACGGGGGGTGCTATCTGGAGGTTATATCATCAGATGGCTAGTTTTAGAATGTGGCTGTAGATGTCAAGAATGTTAATAAAAATCAGGTCGGCTGTCTTGGTTACACATGCTCATGTGGTTTTGTGCGCTCCCCTTTTATAACTGGGTCAGACGACAAAGGTCCCTTTCTATAGCGAACCTTTTACACAGAAATAAATATTTATGCGTACCGAAAAGAGATTCATTGTCATCAGGGCTGCTGTTGCAGAGTTTACGCATATACTGTACCTAATTTGAAGTATGTACGTATGATTTTGTGCATATACTACACCTAAATTTTAAGCATGTACGTATGAATTGGTCCATATGCTGTACCTAAATTCTAAGTATGTACGTATGATTTTACGCATTTGCTATGCCTAAATTTGAAGTATGTACGTACGGTTTTGTCTAAACCTAAATTTTAATTATGAACGTGTGATTTTTTGCATATGCTATACCTAAATTTGAAGTATGTACGTTGTATGTCCGTATGATTTTGTCGATATGCTATACCTAACTTTAAGTATGTCCATATGATTTTGTGCATATGCGATATCTGAATTTAAGGTATGTACGTACGATTTTGTCTATATGCTATACCTATATTTTAAGTATGTACGTATGATTATACGCATATGCTATGCCTAAATTGAAGTATGTACGCATGCCGAAATGAGTTTTATCGAGATCGGGTATTCTAATACAGTTTTACGCATAGGCTATATACCTAGATCCTATTTGTAAGATTTTTGTGTGTATTAGTTCTATGGCAAAGGTCCGATATTGGAGGATGCTGCACGCTCTCGTTGAATATGGAATTAGAGTTTTCTGGTACGTAGGGTTGCGTAAGTGATATTGACAACATCATTGTACACGTGCAGAAAGCCAACTGCAAGCATAGCATAGCGAAAAACCGCGTTAGCGGTCACAGACACTGTTCAGAATACGCTTAAACAGCAGCAGCAGCAGAAGAGGAAGATATTCCCTCTTCAATTCAGCAGTGAATTCTCAACCTACATCCTGAAAAAAGGGACCTCCCACCCGCCCTACTTCATCGCTTAGTATAAGCGACGTTGTATATAAATTACCAGAAGGCTTAAATTAATCTGTGCAGTCGTCCGATCCGGGAGAATCGGGTACACCAGACATCCATAGCCTTTCGAACTTATCACGCAAAAATCAAGTTTACAACTTTCAATATAAAATTGATATTGATGTGATTCAAATGGTTAGGATTAGATCCGCCTTTATTATGGTACAGATGCCCTGCTTTGGGAAATCTGGGCGGGTAGTTATAAGTCATAGTCGGATTCAAGGAATATTTTATGTTTTTAAAGAATACATTCCGATCCCTTTCAGTAAAATCGAATTTCACTACTTTAGCAACACAACTATCTAAATACTACTTTGTATCTGCGAAACCTTAAGAACTGCATGAAAGCGAGAACTTCAAGAGAAGTGCTAAGATTTTCTCGGAGCGCGTACCACCAAAACAATTTGTTATTTTTTGATTAATTTATTACCGAAGTCCAACCGGCCTATATCTTATGAAAACGGTTCTGAGTGTAAGGTTGAACATGGCCCCCATTCAGCCATCATACTCGAGTCCCTACCCCTCGGGCGCGTATATTAGCACACTTTCCATGTCTAACATGCACAAACTATACAACTACATTCATCTTAGAATATAGCTACATACGCTTGCCTATCCCAAACGCACACCTATGCTATCAATCGCATAGACTACCAGAATCTCGATCCCGTATCCTTCATATTAGGTCCGTCAGTAGGCGGCCGTGAGTCGTACGCATCCACACCCATCGGTTCGTCATCGTACGGCAACGCAGGCATATGATCGTAGCTATCATTGACATTCGAGTGCATGTTGCTCATATTCGCCTGGGCATGCGGCGGGTACGGACTGGCCTCATTACTCGAGTTGTACGCTCCAAAACCACTGGTTGCCGACGCCCCGTGATCGCATAAACCACTCACATTGTTGCCGTTGTTGTCCGAGAACACGCTCAGACCGCTCATGCCGTTGGTAGCACTGTCCCCGTTCTTGCCCATCTGGCCGCGGAGTTGCCGGGTCAAGCCTATTTGGTTGATCTTTCGCGTTTGGCGTCTGTAACAGACATACAACACCGCTGAACCCACACAGCACGTCAGCATAAGCGCGATGAACGCACCACCAATACCGTACAGCATCATGTTGAGCGTAGGGTCAGGAACCTCCGCCACATCGACATCAGCCAACTTGCCCTTCACCAGCAGTGACTGGTCGACCTCCTTGTCAGCAGCCAGTCTACGGCCACGTACCAGGTGCTTGATAGCCCGGCGTCTGCGCAGATGAAGAGGTACGGCCTCTGGTTCCTTGGTGACATCAATCTCATTTGACTCATCCTCTACCTCAGGAACTGGCTCCTCAGCCTCCTCCTTCTTCTCGGGTATGGTTTCAGCTTCTTCAATTGGTTCGGTCTCGGGCTCGGTGACATTCCCTGGTTCATTGTACACCAAGTCGTCAGCGACGAACCCATTCGTGGCGCCGCCCGTCACGGTGTATGTGACAGAGATGATGTACTTCATGTCCAAGTTTCGGGCCTCATAATCCACTCCATCCGCGACACACGCCAGGTTGGAGTTCATCATGAACTCCGTGTGAATCTGCGGAGGCTGACCCTTGTCTTCCTTGCTTACCTGGGCCACCTGGGGAATGAAGTTCTGTACCAGTTTGTTGATGTTCTCCCCCGCATACGGTAGTATATGGTCCTCGCATGTAGCGTCTTCATCGTCAGACCCTCGCTCCATAGCCACAATAGCTCCATTCTCAATCACCAACCCAGAACCCTCCGTGAACAGCTTGATGGCCACAAACAGAATTTCATCCGGCACAATACCGGTAGACATATCCTTGGCCGTGGTGAACAATCCGTCGGACATAAGATGCGTTGTCGCGGCGAAATCAGCTTGCAATTCGACTTCGTTAGCGGTGCAGAAGTCATTGCTGCTAAGCGTAATCACCAGATCGGTCGTGGCCTCCTCCGCCTCCAGAGGCAAGCAATTCTCCGCCGAGGCTTGGCATTGGAACGGTAGAGCCAGAAGCTCATAGGTACCAGACAATTCACAGGCGTAAACTTGAAACTCGATAGTTTGTCGACAGTATCGAGCAGTGGGATCGTCACACTCTGGCGCAGTCAGCTTCCACGCTGAAGCCGTGTTCGCCACATCCGTGTTTGCCATCGCATTTATCTGCATGTCTCCAATGGAGTTCTTGGTGATAGTATACTGACTGGGGAGCGTAAGCGTTAGTTCAATCGTCGACACCTTGGATTGGGTGCCACCCGCCAAAGCATCCGCCACTGAAGGTAGTGACTGCTGACTTACCACCATCTCGAAATCAAACTTCTCGTAATTAGACGACAGTAGTGTACCTTCCTGAATTGCGGTGAATTTACGGCCCAGCTGTACGCGCACAGAGCTGACAGCATCTATAACACGAGTGTCTGGCTTCTGTAGGATAATCTGCGATGTTTCCCACTCCACATACTCGCTCACAGTCACCTTCAAAGGTGCATCGTAAAGTACACTCTCATCGGTCTGAGACTTTTCAGCCCCGCATGAAATTAATTGATCAAACATAACACTAAAAGCCAAGTGCCCGTGACAGTTGGTGGCGTCTAAACCTATCTCGATACGGTCCATGGCCCCATCTCCATTGGCCGAACTGTGTAAGCAATTTGCGAAAGAGAAATCCTCGATATGACGCCCATCATACCATTCACCAAGGGATGCTTGGATGTTTACTCGACTATCATCCAGCGAGGGTGCGGTAAGTGTGTAGTCTAATCCAGCGTACATGGCAATAGGACGAATCAGTCTGTGTTATAAGAAAAAAATACGGCTTGTAAGTAAGAGACAGATGGCAAAAGAACTACTCGTGCGAAAATTATATTCCACATCAATACGAATTAATCTGGGAAAGTAGTAGAAAGACAACCATTCGGTCTAGATACACTAGCTATTTAGACAAACTAAGCCTTGAACAGAGAGGCTTCTTATGCAGATGAGACAATCAAACCAGCAATGATACGTCTATTCGCAAACAATTAAGGAACTTACAGATTTATTAGTATACAGGACTGATATGATATTGATGATACGAGGTATTAATCAGAGGGAACTAGCGAAGCCATAGATGTGCGTTCATCGTCTAAAGACATGAAATATTGCGAGTAATTACCATGCCTTAAAAATTTAGAGGCATAGGCATATATACATATACCTTCACCATAATGATTCCACAGAAAGTAATCATTATGTAATGGACTATAAATTGTCGCAACAAACTCATTCCCAAGGAACAAACTCTCATACACCCGTGCATATATGCACAAACTTAAGAACAACTGTGAACACATGTGCAATAGATCTCAATTAAAAACTGCACACAGCTTAAAACCTAATCCACTTCAAAAGTAAATACAGAACATGCTCATCAATATCGTAATATACACTGATTCGCATTGAAATGGAGATGGAACAGACATAAGACTACTTAAAACTTTTTGATATCGATAACAATGACTACGAATTCATTGATCATGTTATATAACTTACTTGCAATCTCCAGCTGTGGCAGCATCTCTAAGGTTCAACTCCTTCAGGGACAAATCCAGATTAGTCGACCTAAATACCACAGGTGTGGAGGTTGAGTCCACCTCGATGTACGTTTCCCCATCGGATGCACCGAGGATGGTCAACTGTTTATCTATCACAAGGTCATTCAAGTACCCATAACTACCAACTTGTAACTGGAGGACATCTCCCGCTGCTGCACCTAATATGGCCTGTTCTAGGGTATCTAAACCTGCAGACACATCAATCTGCGCCCCATTTGCGACACAAATTGCAATCGCTGCTAGAACGATGCACTTCTGCATGTTTACAGGGAGCCCCTTATTCAGTTCTGTCTTGCGTGTGCTGATATATATATATTCTTCTCGTATCGTTCGCCAACTTTGTATGTATTCGGGTAGGCGCAAATGTGTGCCTATTTTGTATTTAGCTAAGCCTGTGTGTATTTGTGGACAAACGTGTAACGTTTTCTCGAAACTTTGCAGTAACTACCGCCGCTTATTTTACAGCTTCTTTATATATGAGTATATGTATATATCTCCTGGATGCGTTATTCTTCAACTACAATAACCTATAACTCTATACCTATCAGGGTTCAAGTGCATGTGTGCCGTGTGCAAGCAGCAATCTTATTGCAGAACATATTGGAATCCTCTATGCGCTTTTCGTCACACCATTCAAGCACTCCTAGCCGCAGGTCACAACTCGCAAGGCACAACTCCTCACTTTTTAAGGATGTTTTGTTTTGAAAAAACAAATAGCACGGGTAAAAATGGGATATATCTCTAAAAAAGACGATATATTATTATTTATTTCCAAAAGCAATGGTTCAGTTTAAAAATATTGGTTAATAAATACAGTGTTGCAGCAACATGCGTCTATGTCACATAAATATACGACATATTTGAGTTTAATTTTAGATATTTGAAACTCGCGAAACTACCTTTATTCAGGTATTTGGTACATTATCAAACATTATTTTAATACAATATGTATAAATACAGAAGAATTAAAGTAAAAAACGCTATAAAACCATTTTGAAATAAACGAGGTACTTGTGGGAAAACTGGGAATGTGGGGCACTGATGGATACTTTCCACCAATCAGAAATAGCAAAAGACAAAACTATTTTAATAACGGATGTGAGTAGAGTAGGTCTCGTACAAAATTATCAATAAAGAGGTCTAATTGGCTACAATTTCTAACCTTGAGTAATAAATTTAAATGAGGCTTCCATTGAGTAGGAGGTTTCTTGAATGAATCTTCTTGTTTTTTTCCTTCTCACAAAACCCCCGAGAGTTGTGAGTATTTTTCAAATAATTTTAAAGTTTTGTTTTGTTTTTGTTTGGTGTTGTTTATATTTATATAAAAAAACAAACAATTTTAAAACTGATACTAAATTACTGACTGATAGTCTGATACACGCTGTTTTTAAATTTATATAAAAAACAAAACAATTTTGTTTTGTGAAAAAAACAAAACAATTTTGTTTTGTGAAAAAAACAAAACAATAAAGAAATAAAATCAACACCAAAGGAAGTCACCCTGAAGTGATGACTTCTACTGCTGGTTGCTGGTTGCTGATTACAGTGATTAGAGTGACTGCAGCCCGCTCAGAGCACAGTGCACAGTGCAGTGTGCACATCAAAACGTGTGGAAATAAATATGATTCACAACTTCATAAGGTTATGACTGCTGAGTGCTGACTCGGACTGTCTGACAGAAGTCAGTGAAGTGTTGACTGTTGAGTGCTGAGCCTGGTGACTATAAAACTCATAAAGACCTCAGAGACTCTAAATACTGGCGGCTGTGTGATGACTGCTGAACTCGACGAGTGCTGCATGTCAAGGGCTCCCCATTCCCAATCGTGTTCCGCGGTTCGGTTTTGGCGGTAAATGATAAACGAATATTTTAAGCCTTGTGTTGAAAGCATAACCTACTATTTAAAAATAAATAAATTGACATTGAAAATTTGAAAGGGTGCAACATATTACATAGTCGGGGGGTTGAAGCAATCGATATTCAGAACGCCAGTTACAATCAATTGGAACAACAATAGACCACTAGAAGCTGTGTGTCAGAAAGTCGAATCTGCCGTCGAATAATCTTTTGTTTAAAGTATCACAGATTGATCAGGATACACACACACACACACACACACACACACACACACACACACACACACACACACACACACACACACACACACACACAC